GCATAAAGGCAGAAAAATCACACAATAGGTTTGCACATTCGCGGTCATCCGCAACAATATAATTTGGAAGCGGTGATTCTCTCTGATTCTGTTGACTTACCAAAACTGGCGGTGTCGCAGTGGAAACGTTGCGATTTATACAGGAGACATCGTTAGCTTGTGTTTTGTTTTCCCTTGCATTTCCCTTGCATTTCAGGCCTAAAAGGAATTCCTAGCATAATCCTTTGTAAATTATGCTCACATATGCTCATGGATAAGAGTATTATCGCATGACTTAAAATGAGTACACAAAACATACAAGCTAAAGAAGTATCTTGATTAGCTTGATCCTCATGATATTGCGACACCCGATTAAAAGTTTATTTATTTTTAAAACCTTTTTCAACAACAGCGTTTTCTATGACTGATTCTTTCTCTCGTTGCAGTACTCATTTCACAATAACTTGACTCATAAACCGTTGATTCAATCTGAGTCAAGCTTTACAATGTTGTATAGAGGGTCTGTAGAAAATGAACGTATAATCCCGTGTAAATTTGTTTGAAGGTTGGAACAGCGGAAACATCAGAAGGTTTAAGTAAGCAATGAAAATTTACAAGTTGACTTTTCTTCTACAATTGAGCTTCTGCTCCTAACATATTAGTTCTGTCTAACTTTTTCGAGAGTCCGAGAGTTTGGGGGGGCTCGAGGTTTAGACATTCAGGCACAGAAAACACTTAGATAACTTTAAATGATTGAGCATGCTCAGTCGGTTCCCTCTGTTTTTGCACTCTTAACCATGCTATCGAGATGTAATATTTAGCGCATGGGGCTTATGTCAATATGATTCAAATACATCAGGTGGGTGGAACCAGGTGATGCCATGCATCATCTGGAGCCTTATTTCGAAGACGTAGTGTTAATTAAACAAGACAAATTCCTTTTCTGCTTGATAGGGGGAATTGTTTCCATATGTGGGACTTTTCTTGCTTCAAACATGAAGAAGTATTCGTAACAGACAAACTCAGGCGGTACCGCAGGCAGACACACCGCCTGAGACAAGCTTTAACGTTTTGAAAGCGAAGTTTATTAAGCAACACATCGGTGAATTTTATTTTAAGGGCGAACTGTATATAACTGTAGTACAAACAAGGAATATTTCAAATGTTTTTTTGGTGAAAAATAGTCAAATACTTGTGAATTCTTGGAAAGATCGTGCTGAAAAGGGCGTGATGCAAAGCAATTGGGAAAGCTACCAGGTAAGCTAACGAATCTATACTTTAATTACAACTGTGAAATACAGCGACAACGGTGATGAGACAATGGAAGAGTTAATTCGAACTGAGTCAAAATGAGTAAGGGACCTTAAGCAGTCAGGACGGCAACACTAAGGAAGGCGTCGATTATTTATGGCTCCTATGGATAAGAGAATGCCTCGTATTCTGAAGGGATAATCCTGTTTAAATAAAGGTCTTCTATCAAAAAACGATTTTCTACTTTTAATTAGAATTTCGAAAATGCATGTGTTTACCGTCTTTCACGGCGCCGCAAGTAAACCTTGGCATAACGTACTTTAGCAGCGTTGAGTTCCAAATGGAAATTAGAAAAATTTGCCCTCGCGATTTCCATTCGCAGACGACGCACATT